AATCAAGTGATTGGAAACTTTTAAATCAAATCCGACTTCTCTCTTTTCAGGGTAGCCGCACATTTTTGAAAAAAATATTGGGTTAAAAGATAAGAAAAGGTAGCCTCAGATCATACCTGTAGTACAAAGTTGACCATTTTATGTTTTGTACTTCTTCAGATTCTTCCAGAAAACAGATTTCATTGAATCTTTACTCAAAATCAGGTGCTTATGTCCTCGCCATGACCTTTTATATACTCTCCATAAACCAAAAATATCTTTTTTTCCCCTGTTTCTAGGAGATTAACACCGGTTGGTTTCAGCGCTCCTTGGTACATTTTGACGCAATTGAATTGTATTTTCTTTTAGGTTACTTCAAGATAACAGCAACGCTAATTGATTTGAATAGCTAAGTGTTTTAGGGGGATAATTATCTTAAGACACCCTCTCGAAACTGAACGGTTATGGAAGTGGTATGGGATTTGAGTCGGTGTTCCTCCGTTGCAGTCCACTTTTGGAATGGTCTGTGTGTGTAAGGCGTACTTTAATATTTAATAAGTTCGTCAAAACATTATCTCTTCATATTATTCTTCAGCTAAGAATAAAAATTTTGTCATTAAAAAGGACTTTTCAAACCCCCATAAATGCAACCGTATCGCTGAAACGGTAAACAAGATTGATTAAGCTGAAACCGGACGCTATTATTTCAACCATTAATGGACTTTTTACCCCGAGGCAATTGCTTAATTACCTGTGACGTAGAGAACTCTTTTTAAAATCAATCTTTTCGAGCAAAATCTAACAGACAAATAAAATGTGAAACTAACCGTTAGTCCAGTGAAGAGAAATCAATTTTCTCTACTTCACTTGTTATCAGTATTTAAATGTTAACCCTTTTTAACGTAGTGGTGACCAAGAAGAAAATTCTCCTTACGATATGAGTATATTATTAATCAGGTAGGTTAAGAGAATTGAGGGCGAGTATCAACCAGAGAGTGCATTTTGATTAGAGACCAAATTCTGATAGGCAAATTAATCCTGCGATCTTTGCTGTTAAATTGCTCACTCCAAATTTACGAGGAAACGATATTTTTAACCGCACAAAAGAATAAATGACAACCCTTTTTTAGTTAGTTGGGACAGGTTTCGATGAAAAAACTTCCTTTAAGAAGAAGTAGGATATCGTTTTCCCTTCCGAAATTGGAAATAGGAGTAATGACTTGCTGAAGTGTGATTTAATAAAAATGAAAACTACTTAAATTCAGCGGAGAGTTAGCAACCAGCAAAGCATGAAAAATATTGTGACGAAAGTTTCGAAGCTGCATCAGTAAAAAAAGACAAATTTGCATGTTCTAGATTTAAACCGCCTAAAGCAAGCCACAACAAGCCGTGGCAAATGCCGTTTTTTGCGTGGCACCCTGTTAAGATTATCTACGAGGTGGTCTTTTGCTTCACTTTTAGCGATGAAGTGGACTGATGGGTTTGTTGCTGTACTAAAGATGGGATAAACACATCTTTTTACTTGTGTTCTGCTTCCTTTTCAAAATTATTTCATCTGAAGTAGGCAATTTCCGCTTTTGCTAAGAATGGTATTGAGGGATGAAAGATACTTCGGGGCCAGTCTTAGTTATTACTCCGTTCCACTTGAAAATCATGTGATCAACCTGAAAGCCATGTGATCCCCCGCCCCGCCTCGGGGATAAATTCCCTAGGTGCCAACACGAAGTCAAAATGCTGCGTTTCCTCACAGTCTAGAAGGAGTCTTAAAAATAGATGATTTATTCTGTCACAAACAGGATTCTGAGTTATTAGAGTCCAAGACACTGCTATAGTTATGTCGTGGTCACGAGATACTTTCACATTACATGTAAATATATCTTTTATTTAAAAGTAGGGAGAGAAAATTATCACCATAATGCTCAACGTACCAGACTCAGAAGTATTTGCCCACGAAGGTTGACCTATTCAGGGAGTTTCGTGGCTATCACAAGAGTTGAAAACAAAACTTTTGGTTGTGCCAAAATGGAATACATGTTAATTTTCGACATGAAAACGAGACAAGCATTGGCCAGCTCATCATATTTCTTTATGCTTGAGGCAGAAGCTAATTCATATCGATTTTCAATTTGCTGCTAAAAAAGCTGACTTTCAAGATAATTTTTTTCAATTCCAAATCTTTTTATCTTTTATTTTATATGTTTTTCAGGTCAGGGAGGCATGTTATTAAAAAATTCATTTATCAAAATTGGAACTTTGAAAGTTTTGATTAGTTTCCAGTGAAAAATGGAATGGAACAAACTATATTCAAATTTGGCAGCAAAATATGTTTATTTGCTCATCCGAAGACAATTATTCGTAATCATTGGTCGCCAATGATGTTATAGCTTCAACGTTAAATTTTCTAGACCGTACATTTATTAATTACTATGAATTTTAATGATAAGTGTTATGCTACTAGAGCTGTCATCGAATTGGAGTACGCAAACACGGTCGAATATCTCTAAAAGCAATTACAAAAAGGGGTTCGAAAAATATTGGAAAGCTACGCAAACACTCTTCTCTGTCTTTGTT